AATGCAGCCTGCATCAAAATGGTGGGCACCGAGTTTCCATGCAAAGTGTTAGGCCATGCAAAGTTTATGGCAACACTTCAACTTCTGTGGTGCCACCAACCTGTGGGCAGTGCGACATGATTTGACTTTCTTGACTAAGTCATGTTAAGTTTCTAGTGCCGTCTCCAGCTAGGGGTTGGCTAATTTGCTACTACTGAGATGAGCTGTTGGAAGGAGTTCTGCTAAGTCAGTAAGTTTAGCTGAAGTGTTAAAGACTCCTATACAGAAGTCCAGGCAGGCTCTACATTCACTACTGGTGGCACCTTGAGTTATTGTTTGTCATACCAGAAGCTGAAGGGCAGTGACACATACTGGAGCAACTCTGTTCATATCCACCAGAGGGAAGCATCATGCACATCTTTTTGCTGGCTCAAAAGCGTAACAAACCTGTACCTTGGCATACCACCACATGAACAATAAGAGTGATTTATGCTACAAAGAGAAAAAAGTGTACATAGAGAAGACAATGCAGCTTCAATTTATTACACATTGAATCGTTTTGTACAAAAGCTCTAGTACGGATATGCTGGTTCAAGGGAAGTTTGCATATCTGCCTTTTAATTTAAGCTGAGAAAAGATGTGACATCCAAGATTGGCAGTGGCTACCATTTTATTAGCAAAGAGCTAAGCTGTGGGGGGAGGAAGGGGTCCTTTGTGGGTCCCCAATATGGTTCCAAGCCTTCACCACATCACATTGCAGATATACCCTTCATCCTCCCCCATGGGCATTTAGGGAGCTATAATAACCCAGATTTTCTGAGGCTGGAGCCAGTGCACTCCCCAGCCCCTAACCACATTCGCCTTTGATTTGATTCTCTCTTTGTCTGCCTGCTCTTAATTGCAGCTCTGTTTCCTGTAGTTCTGTTGCCTCCCACCCTCTCCCAACAGTCTTGTTTGATGGGCTCTTGGGTCAGAAGTCTTTCCCCTCTGCCTCATTAGCGATGCATAGCCCAGCCCATTTCACATCCCAGCAGCCTCGTTAACGAGCTGCAGCACCACACCATCAAATCCTGCTCGCTAATTATTATCATCAGCCGTTCATGTTGCAGATGTGGTAGAGCCAGTGGTTGCTGAGTAAACTTTCTCAAGATCAGCTCTTTTTTTTTAAGGAACAGGTGCCAGCAACCTAATGAGAGTAGCATACAGACTACATTCAGAGGGCTGGAAGAAATTTGACAAATTTGTGCCAAGGCCCATCTGAAGAGACCCCATAGAAAGAAAGAGTTTCCTATCTCAAAAGTGGTGTCGTTCTCAATAACCATCCACATTAGTAGTCAGACTACAAGCTTTGGGCTGGAATCTTGAACAGGGAGGAAGTCCCATTGAAATTAGTGGGACTTATTTCTGTGTTTAATATTTTCTTCTTGAACACACGGCATGCCAAGTCCACTGAGCAAATAGATAATCTCACAAAAAGAGATGAAATTTATGTCTCCAGGACCATTTCTCTTCTCTGATCAAATGCTTACCACAATATCTGGTATGTTATTTCTAGAGTTGTGGATTCAGGCTGCATGTTGGGGAGGCAAGGATTCCCACATTGGCTTAGATGACCCTCATGGCCCCTTCCATCTCTATGATTCTATGAGAGGTTCTATGGAGAGCCAGTGTGGTGTAGTGGTTAAGAGCAGTAGATTCGTAATCTGGGGAACTGGGTTCGTGTCTCCGCTCCTCCACATGCAGCTGCTGGGTGACCTTGGGCTAGTCACACTTCTCTGAAGTCTCTCAGCCCCACTCACCTCACAGAGTGTTTGTTGTGGGGGAGGAAGGGAAAGGAGTATGTTAGCCGCTTTGAGACTCCTTCGGGTAGTGATAAAGCGGGATATCAAATCCAAATTCCTCTTCTTCTTCTTCTTCACACACCTTGCAAGGCAGGATAGGATGAGAGCTACAACCTGCGACTTGTTCAAGATGACAGAGGTTGCCAAGGAAAAAGCTGATCTTCAACGCTTTAAAGCAGGAGTCGCCAGCTGGCAGTGCAGGGACTATATCCAGCTTGCTAAGCAACTGTATCTGGCCCCTAGCAGCCTCAGCAAATTTTAATCAAGCTTGCGATAAATATTTCGCCCATCGTTTTGCTTGTAAGGAAAATGCATATGTTTACAATGTTGTGAGATACAGATGTTTCTCATTTCACTTTTACATCTCTTTGGGTTTTGTATATAATATTATCCTCATCATGCCTGTGCATCTGGGCTCCATAACGCCATAAAAGTTGGGTTTTTCCCTCTGCTAGCTGGCATGTCTTTTATTATAGCACCACTAGCACTAGCAAAGGGTCATGCTGTGCAGCAAAGTAGGATTCCCAGTCCTGGGCCACTGGATGGAATGACAGTACCCCACCCCCAGGACACAGAAGGTGGCTATGCCTGCTTTAGATCAAGAATGACATTTTGGTCATTACACAAATAGCCAGGTGTATGTGTGAGAGAGAGAGATAGTGTGTGCAAAAGAGAGCACAAGATGTAGTACTACATTATAGCTTCATACCAAGAAGTAACAACTGCAAAAAGAACTGTTACAGTTCACAGAGGCCATTGCTCTCAGAGCAAAACAGTTTTTAAAAGTCTGTTTTGGTGGAATTTAAAGCCACTTTAGTTTATTCTATAGATCCAATTACCTGAGGCCATATGAGAAGATTCTGGTTGCCTGTCTGTCAATGTATCTACCACCCGTCTTTTACATACAGTGGTACCTCCGGTTACATACGCTTTAGGTTACATACGCTTCAGGTTACAGATTCCGTTAACCCAGAAATAGTACCTCAGGTTAAGAACTTTGCTTCAGGATGAGAACAGAAATCGTGCTCCGGTGGCGCGGCAGCAGCAGGAGGCCCCATTAGCTAAAGTGGTGCTTCAGGTTAAGAATAGTTTCAGGTTAAGAATGGACCTCCGGAACGAATTAAGTACTTAACCTGAGGTATCACTGTATTTGCGTCCTAAAGCCTTGCAAGGTCTGTTTAGAAGTTCCCAGGGAAGACCAAAGAAGTGCCATCTGTTCCACTCCAGGGACAAACTTGGATGTTTCCCCATATCGTTGTCTCTAGACTTTGTCGCGTCTGTGGGTCCCAGGAGAAGAGACTTCCGTCTGCTATTTTATTTGGCTGTTCCCATGATTACAACAGGGCAACTGGATGGAGGAGCCAACTGCTGCTCCGGCAAGATAGAAACTACTAAATAACGGCGTAGCGTGGGTTGTCAGCACCCGGGGCAAGGCAAGTAATTTGCGCCCCCTAACTCTGGGCAAGGCAAGTAATTTGCGCCCCCTAACCCGGGGCAAGGCAAGTAATTTGCGCCCCCTAACCCCTAACCTGCCGTCGCTGCCAGCTTCTTCTTGCTGCTGCCTGGGCTGGTCTGGTGTGGTTCTCTCCCGCGCTCAGCGCTGCGCTGGGCGGCCACTGCACTGTCCCTCCCCCCAGATAGTCCCTCGCTCTCTCTCCGCACCGCACGCCTGGCACCCCCCCCCTCCACAGTGGGCGGCGACCCAGCGGCTCGGATCGGATTCGCACAGCCAGCACTGCAGTGAGAGAGAGTGAGTGAGCCAGGTAGGGGCAGAGAGCTGTGAGTGCAAGCGCCCCCCCCCCAGATGTTGCGCCCGGTGCGGCCGGGCCCCCCTGCACCCCCCACGCTACGCCACTGCTACTAAAAGGATATCTAGGAATCTTGTAAGGCCAAAACGAATGACACGTATTTAGATTAACTGGCTCATATGTGTGGAAATCCACCAAAGGCTATATCACAAACTGATCAATGACTAAAAGAGTAGTATGTATCTGCTCTTTGCAACAGCATCTACCAATAAAATATTGATTGGTAAGCAAAATACATCAATCGGTTGGCAGAATTTCTAGTCTGTAGGTTTGTGCACGTAATCTTGAAAACATAATGGTAGCTAAATGTGCTGGATATTCCTAAACCAAACAGAAAGCCATAAAAAGAATGCAATCAGCTTTCAGTTTCTAAGGCCACTTCCTGATTTTGAGAGGTAGGACTTGGTTTGTTTTCTTGTTTGTTTTTCCTTCAGGTTTGATGTTTCCCAAAGGGAAATACCACAGGAGTGCAAAATATACACTCCTTGTATATTAGCACACACTACTAAGTACATCAACGCAAGAAGTGTGTGCACTAGGGCAGCTTTTCAGATTACAATAGGAGTGAATAAGTCGGGATGTAGGTACTCCAATCACCCTTGACATATGAGAATTAATGGCATAATCTACCCCCCTACCCCCTGGCTGACTTTTGCTGAGCCACTGTCGCACCTGCAACCTGAGTGCTCACGACTGCTGCACCAGAAGGCAGAGGGTTGGGACATGTAGCTGCCTCACAACCTACTGGGTTTTAAGTATGTGTATATATTGGGTTGGATTGGCATTTTGCTTTCCACTATTTGAAAGGCTCCAACTGGCAGAATGGGAGAAGAGGCAATATTTCATCAATTCCCCCTTCCCCTGCAGCTGTCTATGCCCCCTGAAAATCTGCTATGGTGGGCTGGGGGGGGGCATTCCAAAACAAGATTGGGGGGGTATTGGGGGCTGCAGGAGGAAGGGGAATTGCTTTCCTCACCACTACCTTTCCACCAGCAGATGTATCCTGAGTATATTTACACTCAAGTGATGCCAGCTGTAGCAAACTCACGATCCAACCCACTGTCTGATAGCAATTATCCCAATATGTATGTGTTCAAATAAAACTGGAACTTTCCCATGGCAGACGTCAACAATGAGCAAGGTCCTCCTAAACCTGAAATAAACTAGCCAAATGCTGTTCGGCCAAGATGGACTCTGCATTCTAGAGGTTTCTCCAGGAAAATGCCAGCAGGGAGCTGTGGAAGCAAAACCTGTGTGCAATATGGAGACAGGAATGGAGAGTTGAGATTGTGAGTGAAGACAGAAGTTACCTGTCTTGAATTTTCACCTGTATATAAAAGCTATCTCCTTTTCTCCTGTCTTTCTTCTGCAGAAACTCAGAGCCCAGAGGAGTGTGGTCAACAGATAAAATTGATCCTAGAATCTCCACGTCTCCCTCAATGGCACAGACTCCTCCTGCAACATCTGACCAGGCATTTCTGTAAACTGTGCCAGAATGGCAGCAAGAATCACTTCACACCCAGGATGCTTGGAGAGGCCTTTAGTGACGTGCTTTTTAAACCATCCCCATCAAGGTGAAACTGCTGGACCATTTACCAGAAGCATCTTCATCTGCTCCTCCTCATCCCTCGCGTGACTAATCTGGAATTCAATTTTAAAACTAAGATGTTAAAAATAAGATTTGGTTCCTGCCCACTAGCAAGAAGAGTTCCAATTGTACCTGAATTTCAGAAATGCCCCAAGTTGAAGCCAATTATATTTCAGTTGGAGAAGTTTCCAAGACTCCAAGACAAAGGGCTTTAGACAAAAAGGGCTTCAGTGGACCATCATACATATAACTGCTGCCTTGAATATTTGGCAGAAAGATGGCATATCAGTGAAGTAAATAAATACATACATATAAACAAAGACAAAGAAGGAAATGTAAATCAATAAGGAATCATAATGTAATGAAGGCAAGCCTAAAAACCCTATCCAAGCCAGGGTAGAAGGTGAAGGCAGGAAAAGTAACCTCCTCACTTGGTCATCTACCAACCTGCCTCGGTGAAGAGGTCTGGATCAAGTCCATTGTAGTCACATGATCCGGTTTCCATCCCAGTGCCTGCTCAGTTTCACCTTTTCCCCTAAGCACCCTGGTTCTTTTGGTTCTGCTCACTATTACTGGCAATGGCCTGGGTGGGTGCATTGGGGTACTCATCACTGGCAGGGCTGGGCAGGTAAACACCTCCACCTCATCCAAACTGCTTGCAGCATGGCGGATTATGGTTTTGGATTTCTCTGACTGGTCTCAGTGTCCGATTCCCTCTTCTATTGCAGGCAAACTGAGCAAGCAGAAGCCATGACTAACTTTGTACTAAGTTCTTTGTCCTTGTTTTCCTAGCATGGAACTGAATCCAGAGCACCATGTGAAGATTATTGAGGCTCTTATCATCGCTGGTGGAGTGTCAGAGATCCAGGCAGCACCAGGTAGGAATTCATTGAACGTACTGGCTTACAAAACATTATGGAATGAGATTGGGCTGGCTGTATTGTGTGGCTAATAATATGCTGAATCTGAAAACTGGTCTTTGCTACGAGACTATCTGTGCGATGCATTTGATTCATTGTGCTCCTAAGGACTGGATTTGGGGCACATGAAATTGGCCCTGAGCCTTTATGGAGAAAGTCTGGAGTGTACATTCCTTTTGATGTGAAGAGTTTCCTTGTGTTTCACTAGCTTCATGTATTGTGTTCAGCTGGGTTAGGTTAGAGTGCTTTTATTTCAGTTTGTACATATGGAATGTATGTGACCAAAATTAGTGGTATTTGTGAGCAGTTCTATTCTACAATTGTGACAGAGAATGGTGAGGGAAGTGAGTGACTGTTCCTTAGCAGTATGATACTTTCTGGAAGCTTTGCACCAACTGTTATCTGCTGGAGGTTCAGCACTTCGGTACTAAATTGGAAGCAAAGTAACTTCTTAGAGAGCCTCCAGGAATAACAAGATACTTGTCCCTTCAAAGCTTGATGTGCTAGATGTGCTACAGCTTCAGTGCTGATGTCAGACTGATTTGCTTTTCTGTTGTAGGACGTATAGGGAACTAACACCTTATCCCATCTATGTGCATGTAATGCAGAGTGCAGACATTCGTATAGTACTGCACCAAATCTTTGCTGTGAAAATATTCTCTGGGAAGTCCTGCTGGTCACTATCTTCACAACTTTTCAAAACTTGTTTGCAGGTCTGATCAGCAGCATTTTCATTTCCATTATTTTTCTGACCATGTTTTTCTTGTAGGATTACATGGCCAGGGCGATGACGCCATGTATGCAATCAGGTTTGTCTATGTGGCAATATCACAAGGTCAGTTCAGAGTAAAGGCAGTGCTTTATGCCCTCACTCTGAATTAGCCCCAGGACAACGCCATCAGATTTGGCTGTGCAGCATCATAACATCATTTCATTGAACATAATTATTTCCATTTCTTTGGGATAATGTAGGCAGAAAGAACAATCACATTTAGCTAAGTGATGAAGTTGCAAAGTCAGTTCAGTGTAAGGGCATAACACATTGCCGTTGAGTGGAATGTGTACTGAGTAGGGAACCATTCTGCAAGCATTTTCACCCTTGTGTGGAGTCCCCTCCCAAAGAATTCTGAAATGGGTATGCATTTCACAGGGGAAGAAAAATGTTCACCTCTCTTCTCAACACACACATTCATTTCAGTTTAGCTCTAACAAAATGCACTCCAAAATCTTTTAAAAACTAAGGCTAGACATGTTTAGATACAGTGGGTGGGAACCACATAACAAACTTCTTCAGCAGAAGGCCTGCACAAAGGCTTCCAAATGCGCAATGAGGATTACCCCCTCTCCTTCCCCTGCTTGCACCTATGCCCCAACAGCTGGCTCTGCAGGGGTTGGGAGAACCCCTATAACAGCATGCAGGGGGGGAGGTAGGATTGTTCCATTTGGCAAGCTGATATGCATGTGCAGGTATAATGTTTGCAATAGCATGATATTGAATTTCACCCAGTAAGATGGAGGAAATTATGCTGGGTATATTCAGCTAAGTTTTACTCATGTTGGACACATTTAAAATAATAGACCTGACTTAGTAATTAATTTCTGTGGATCTAGTCTGAGTAAAACTTAGTTGAATATCACCCTCTGAGATGAACTACCACATTGCAAACTGGCTGTGCCAATATATTGCGGTTCGAGGTGAACCAAAATAGCTTTGGGGAGTTTCCCACTTGTTTTTGTTAATGGGCATTGGAAGGGGAACCCACCATTTTCTATGTACTTCTGACAGCTGCATTAAAATTTTGTCTATTATTTGACTGAATCTTTGATACTGGAAAGGAATTCAGAAAAAAACCCAAAGGTTCTTTTATTAAGCTTATAGGGGATTGTGCCTTCCCTGTGGTAGGTCAAACATGTAACTGCAGACATGATAGAGAATGGGCTAGACACACAGGTCTTGGAAGAAGCATAAATGAACTCTGAGTGGGGCTCAGCTGGATGTGGGAGCTTTTCCAATCTTAGCTAGACAAACTCAAGAATGGCACAATTCCCTTGCTCTCAAGTTACCAGTCTCTGCAGCCACAGCAGGAGCTGTGATTCTCCAGCAGACTGACTTCACCCATAGAGGTGTACTCCATTGTCTCTCAAGGCAGATGGATTTTTATTTTTTATTTTTAAGGCATTGCTTGAAGCAATCCCCAAGTTGTGCCCTATGGGCTGACTCAAGGACTGCAGTTGCCTAAAGTTTAGACATGAGTATTTCTGGGCTTTTGTATAGCACAGTCTGCATTGCAGTTTGTGTTCCAGACATGGGGAAAATATATTTGTTTGATTTGTTAACTGTCTGATGAAAATCTCTCCCCCGTCAGATTGCAAAACCAAAATGGAAATGCATGGAAAATTATTGTTTCAACTATTAATGTAATGATCTGTAGCAGCACGTGAGTCTGTTGTGTCTCTACCAGCTGTTATCAACAGTAGACCCCTATTGGGAGGAAGGGAGGAAGACTCTTTTTTCACACCAGAGTGACACCTGCCCTACAGCCTTCAGGTCAGAGGTTCACTGAAGTCCCCTGAGGCGGACCAGTTAAGACACTATTATGTGGCTTTGCTAAAGCTCCTCTCACAGGCTTGCTTCTGATAATCACAGAGGAAGGAAACAGAGGAACCCTAGGGAATTCACCACCCAACTGTCAGTTCTATGGTCACTTTCATGGCCCTGGTGCCTTCCGTCTTTCTGGCAAAAAGGTGTTCACCCTGCCTGGGGCAGGAATGGAACATCCAAGTTTGTCTCGCCTCCTTGTCTTTGTCCATGGTCGTTAGTTTGATCGGCAGCACAGCTGGCAGCTGGGGACGGTTTAATTGCTCTTCAGGGAATCGCTGAGGTGATGTTACAGGAACGCCTTTGGTGAGGGTTGACTTTGGGAAGAGTCCAGCACACGGAAGGGAAGGGGAAGGGAAGTTGTGTTTGCTGTATTTTCCAACTCACTGTTTGCTCACATGAAGTTTATTGGCAGAAGCGATGGCTCCTGATCCTGTTTGCATTTATCATCTGACCAGCTAGGTTCAGCAAGGTTATGAAGAGGTAATTCTTGAGGCATATGACGGGACTGAGGACTTTCCTCATGACTACTCCATATCCTGAAGCCCTATTGATTCACTGTCTTGCTAGAGAAGACATTTATCAATAGAGTTATAACTTTCAGATGTACCAAATAAACTTGCTTAACCTATGAATTTCTGATGAGTGGTTTTTCCCCACATGCAGAGATTGTTTCCATTTGCTTAAAGATGGGAATTTAGCTAGACTAAACCATCCTGTTTGATGGTTTCTCAGTCCAGCAGGGATTAATTACCAACACTGGTGACTTCTGTGTAGCTAAATAACAACAAACTAACTACTGGTAGTATTTAGTTGAGGCGATGATGCCTATCAGAGGCATATCCTTCTTTGTTCTGCTTGTGTCTCAGTACTATTAACCTGTTGTAGCAGAAAAGAATGCAATCAATATTTTGTCATTTGGGGGCTGAAGGAGCTTGCACTGTGGGCAGGCCGTCAGATCAGCAGTAGGTGTAATATTTGCTGCTAGAAACTTTGTGAAGTGACGCCACAGGAGACTGAAGTGTGGAACTAGGCTGCCTCCTGTGATGGCAGAATTCAAGAGGCACAACTAGGCCTAATGTAAAGCATGAGCTTGGCTACCACTATGGTGTATTTGTTCCCTAGGTGAACTGAAGAGTTTTTCATTTCCTTTGTGTATTTAAAATGTGGCTTTTCCAGTAAAAACAATCTGCAAAGCATGCTCAGGAATGCTCTGCAAAATTCTGGGACACACGCTCATTCTAGATAGGGACCTTCTTGCCTTGCTTCCATCCTGCCCTGCCAAGAGTAGCTAAAATTTATGAGCCATTCCATCTACTTCCAGATGTTTTTAGTAGATTCTCTGCAATGCCACTGAAGACTAACAGCACAATGCTACTCATGTCTCCTCAAGCAAATCTCACTGAGTTTGGCTTACCCCCAGATAAGCGGATATAGGATTGTATCAATGGGATGTACTTTTGAGTA